TTAATAAAGTGGAAAGACTTTTAAACATAAACTTGAAAATTTGTGGCGGTACAGCACTGGCAAAACGACATCAGCAAACATTACTGACTATTTCAGTGGGTTAATAGCACACTTGCTTAACATTTTATCAAGTAACGCATGCGAAGCGGCTAACTTTTTTTCAGTGTTTTATCACTTAAAACAGCTTGGAAAAGCACAAGCCAGCGTAGTTTAACTGGGTTTACTATAGCAAAATGCACCGCTGTGTTTGGTTCTTAAGTGAAAAACCAACAAATCGTCTCATCTTTGTTGGTGAGGCATGAGGTTGTGTTGTGTACATTCTATTTTTTACATATAAATACGTTTTTACTTACTCATTAGACTTGTTTTATCCGCTTTTTATTCTTCTTATTATTAGTGCGTTTTTCTTTGGTTTAGCTTCAAGTCCAATCGTTTATTAAGCATAATCTGTAGCCAAATGCGGCTATCTTTAATAAAACTATAATTTTTAGTTTGTAATCTCTTTGTTTTAAGTTGTTGACTTGACGTTAATCAAATATTGTTAGTATTTAAATCATAAATGCTTTCTTAAGACTTATACTTTTAAATACTAGAACTAAATACTATAATTGTTAGTATAAAAAAAATTACAACAGTATATAACCTTTAATTGCTATTTACGTATACCCTGTATTCTTTCTCAATTAAAAGTTTATATTAGTATAGGAATAGGAGTCTTTTTGCTATTATAGGAAGTATATTCGTTACCTTAAGTTAGTGATTAAATTATTAACGTGCATACAGACTGACATTATTTAATTCGTCTTCGAGTGCTGATCAGGGATATAAACATATAGTTTATAGTTTGCATAGTTTAAATGGGTTTGAAATTGATTTAACTGCTTTGCAAAATTTTGTCAATCTAGAAGTTATTCGGACTTTTTTTGTTTAATTTATGTATATTTCTTTTACGGAGTAATATTGCCGAAAGTTATAATTTTTATAATAATTATTACAATAATTCCGATTTAACTGATTAAGTTAGATTCTTATCGTGATTTAAAAGATCTATTGGTTTATTGCAATAACAATAATAAATACTAATGAATAAGATTCATCACAAAGTATATATATATTGGGAGGACAGCGCTCCGTCCACTTCAGTGGAGCCACTCCACTGAAGTGAAGAATTAGCCGAAGTAGTCCACGAAGTGAATTGGGTCCTTTTTTGTTCTTCGATTCTCGGATGTCGTTATTGAGTTAAAGCTAAAATGGCTCCCGTTCACATAATTACATCTCTTGTTATTGCAAGCAGCACATTTAGCTTGAGATTGGCTGCCCAGTCATCGCCAACCTAATGTTACCTAATGTTAACTTAGGGTGCTTCGAGGATAGCTTAGCACTTTTATCGCTTCCCTGACTAGCGGTTTTGATGTTATCAGTTTAGTTTATCTACAAGTGTTCATCTCTGTCAACCTGTTAAAATGAAGTGAAGTTATTCCCTTATAGACATAGGCTGCAGTCATTTTGTAACCCAATGGTATTCTGGGCTGGCTTGATCCTTGCTTTGCAAGTTTAGGGCAATATAAAACTAGGGCATTCAGTCAGCTTAAGCTTAGCTTATGTATTAAGCACTCAAACATATATTTATGGATAACACTGTTCAGATAAAGTTACGAAAAAAAAATAAATTGAATTAAGAAAACTTTTGAATTAAACATGATCCCTGCTTTCTTGTATTAATGTGTTATAAGAGTAGAATATGTGTCTGTAAAAATTGTAGTATATTCAAGTTTAGTCATTATTACACGAGTAATGTGTTAATAAAAGAATTCATTTTATTTTCCCATATGGTATTATATATAATTAAGAGAGTTTACCAAAATTAATAACAATTTGAAATTGTAAACAACATTTAAACATGACACGATATATATTTGTACTGTGATGTTTCGACGACATCAATTAAGCGGCAAGCCATACTATTTTCATCGCAAGTGGAAAGTGGTTAAAATAAATGTTTACACTCTCTGTCTTCTTAAAAAAAGAAAGAAGATAGATTAAAGTGAACTATCGAATTTAGAAGAAAATAAAGCTGAAGAGCTTAAAGAAGAGCTTTTCCAAAATATTATAAAACCAGAGAAGAGCACAATTTCAAAGTACGCATTCACCACACACATACGAACTCGAAGAAGCTATAGTAAGTCTACTTGTGTCTTCAAAATGAAAAACGCATCGTTCAGTATTAATTTAGACTTGGCGGTGTACAATAACGTTCGAAAGCATAAATCAAGACGCGCCGTTACTTTAAGCTGTTACAAAATTGCGAGCACAGATACTTATAGATACTTTTACGTGCTGCAACGCACTGCATAGCACGATTGCTGCATCTTAAATGGAATTGTTACCATATTTTGCACAATTTAAAGTTGCATGCAACAAATTGATATACATTAAATAGTTATTTCAAGTGCGTAAAAATCACATATTAAATTATGAAAAAAATATAAATATTAAAACTGCATAATATATTTGGAAGTTGTTTTTACTGTGTTTACTGAAATTATTTCGAAAAACAAAAAAAAAATTATTAATATAAATATACAAAAATATTTTGTGCGGTGAGTTGTGAATAGAAAATCGCGTTGGCGTTTTTTATATCTGTTAATTTTTTAAAATTCTTCATTTGTGAATTCATGATATACCCGACATGCGATGCGCATGCGCAGCAACTCTATTAGCACTTTTCAACGTAATTGTACTTTAGCAGTTGCTGCGATCGTTGTTGTTGTTATTAATACTGTTATATCTGGTGAAAATAGAAAGTGGTTCCCCATAGCCATAGCGGCTGTCTTAACTTGCTTAACTTGGCACTTTTTAGTTTATTTATTTTATATTTTTTTATTAGCCATTTCCAGCATCTATTCAACATTTTGTCAAAATCACCACAAAATATTTTATGCAGTAAACAAAGAATCAAACTGTGATTTTATAAAGACGTGCAATGCATTTGAGTTGCAATATAAAACGTTATGATGATGAGAGACATATTAAAGTGAAACTTTAAAAAAAAATTACTATAATACCAAAAAGATGTTTTTAGCCTAACATACTGAAAAAATATAAAAACATTATTAAATTTTTATTTTTAGTAAAACAATTTCTACTAAAAATATTATTAATTGTAATTTTAGTCCCTAAAGAGTTTTGATGCACTTTTACCAATGCGACTGATATCGTAGAAATTGGCTGGCTACCAGTTATTGACACCTCAATCGTTAGATGCTGTTGCTAATTTAAAAGATTTACTATAATTTTAGCTTTTGAGCTACTGTAGTATTCAAAAAGTTGTGTGTATAGACATGGTAAAGATCATGTCACTGTGAAATTATTATGCATTTTACTTCTATACATATAGGTATATTAAACTTTTATATTCTCTTAAAGTAGAAAAATCATTTCTTAAATAAAACTCATAAGCAGATATTAAATTCTGAAATTTGTAAAAAAAGAAATATACATATTTAAGATATTTTTATTCACTTATTAATTAAGAATATTAATTTTATGATCTTTATCTCTCTATCTCTAATTTTTCATACAAAAATTCTTTATATATTATATGGTACAATATTCCTTTGTATAAATACATTATTTAAAACAAATATTGTAAAATTATATTTTGTGTACTGCTTACTTCTTTTTATTTTTCATAACCTTATTATATATTGGGTTAGTTTTTCTTACACACTTATTGACTATCTCTTCACTTACACTCCTATATTGCATATATCTTTAAATAATATTTTGTCATATACCAGCTGGTCTATCTTGTCCGCCTTTTATTTCTTCCGTGCTTCATTATATATTTCATTTGCTTTCTTATTACATGACTGCATTAGAAAATATAGAAGTCTGACAACTTTGCGCTTATTGCAGCGGCTTTGCTACTATTTCTCAAGAATCGTTCCGTATCTTGTCCAACATTCTTATTCCATTGGATCATAGCATCATGTGTATTATTGCCCCATGACATAATTTTATAATGTTAATATATAACATAAATAAAATATACATTATTATATTATTATATATTATAAAGTACACATAAATATTAAATTATATCATAAAATGAAAATAATATCACAATATTAATCATGTTAATCCACGAATATTAAGTATGTGAATATAATAAAAATTATTTGTATTATATATGTATAATATATGTATATATGTATATATATGTATATGTTTGTATTATATATGTATAAAAAAATTTCAAAAAAAAATATAAAAAGGTTAAATTCATCAATATCAATAACATAGTACTAGTATAACATAGTAAAATCGATACAGGAAAAGAAAACGTTATTTTTAGTTTCTTCCCATTCTACAATTTAAACATTTACAACTTCTTTAAAAAACATTCATATCTTTTCAAATATCCCTTTAACCTAATCTATTCTGCATATCTCCTGCAATAACCAACGATAGAACCGTATCGGATGAAGGAACCGATCTACATCTAAAGAATCCTTAAAAATATAGTTCTCGTATAACTACGGTACGCTTATAACACAATATTGTAAGCAAATCGTTGAAGATCATTATATATAATATTACCAGTGCAGGTGTATTCTAGTTCTAACCAATAACTAGAATACGTCGAATAGGTTTAAGAGTTCATGAGAAATATATAATTAGTTTTTTTTTAAATATTTTTTGGATATATTTAAAACTATATAAGTTACAAATTTTATTTACTGTTGAAAAAATTTTGCAGAGCAATTAAATCAATTTCAATTTTATTTCATGTATTATTCCATTAATAAACTATATCCATAAAAACTAAAAGACTAAACCTATATCTATATGTGTGATGAGTATAAAGATAAAGAAAATAAATTGTAATTTCATATATTTAAAAAAAATAGTAAAATGTATATATGTATATTTGTATATTATTATTTATTACATAAACTAAATTAATTTTACAATTTTGGTTTGTTTTTCAGATACAAGAATATATAAAGAATAATTATCGTATCGAGTACAGCATAGAGTGACATATGACAGCTGATAACTTGGGCAATTAAAACTGATATTTAGGAACTTCTATTAAATTAAATACACTACAGAATAAAATGGGTCAACTTTCGCGGCCATATGTGCTCGCGGTCTTATGTTTAGTATTCATATCAAAGGTAAGCAAACAAATGAATAAAAATATATTATAATAGTTAATGGAATAAAAATAAGTATTACGAATAAATGAGAGATATGTTGAAAATAAAGATGTTATTAAATCTTCATTTTAAATGATCTCAAAACAAACAAATCCTGTATAATAAAAATTAACCAAACAATGAATGTATAATATTATTCTTACTATATTTTTTATTATATATAATGTAGTGCGAAAATATAACGAAAGTTATATACTATATTTTATTACCAATTACAGTCTGAGTAACAGGAAGACGGGTTTATACAGTTTCAATGAATTGAAAATGAAAGTCAATACATAGACTATACTCATACATAGAGTATATGTTCAGATTATCAATATATATATCATATTCTCTCAATAAAAATTTACATATTTATTTAAATTTACATGTTTAGGTTTTACTTTTAATTTGTCTGTTTGACTACAAATTAATAAAAAATTGATATCTGCTTATTTTATAGCTTCTAAGTGTAAAGCACTTATAATTTCTATATGATAATACTATGATAAAAAAAAGGAATTCTTCATTAAAATTGCTAACTGGATTTTTTAAAGCAATATATAATTATAACATATAATTGAACTGCAATAGCACATTAAATATACACAAAACGTTTATACTTATATAGATAATAAACTTTGATTTGATGTGTGCATTTTAAAAATGGGCGTCATACGAAGCTTAGTGCATTTTTGTGTTTTTATACTGAATGTTTCTATATCATACGTAACTCTTAACACATTATTAAAATATACTTCAATTAAATTTGTTTTTGTATTATTAATAAATTTTTTTTTTTGTGACAAAATAAATAGAAATAAATAATATATTCAAATTGTAAACTACAAACTTAACAGTGTCGGGCTGTAACGCTTTATTAGATTTGATGGGATTTACACAATACGTGATGTAAGTGCAATTTTGTACGTTTATTCTTATGGTTAAAGCTAAGGTCATTGAATTAGGTTTATTTATTATTTTTTTTTATTAGGATTATTTTTTTTTTTTTAAAAAAAAAAAAAACCTCCAATGTACTTTAACAAAAGTGTATGGAACAATCAAAAATTCAAATTATCATACAGCTACTAAAACTTAGATTATTTTCTAAATAATTCTAATCCTATTTAATAACAAAATATCGGAATAAATTTAATTGAAATAAAAACACCTATAAGATTTCGTGTAAAATTTATTTGTTATTTTTTTGTGATCTGAATTCTTCTATAAGTTCATTTTCTTCTGTCATAACATGACAGTGCGGGTGGTTCAATAATTTACTACTTTTCGGCATAATTCTTTATTTCCAATCTTGTTTTACTAATCTCACACTTCCGTTTTTCTGAAATTGGTTAATACTAAAACAAACCACCTTTTTTTGTGGCACCTTCTTTTTTCCGATGGAGTTATAACCTATTTAGCTGTTGTCATTAGTTTCTAGACTTTTTAGAATTGTAAAAGTTAGTCTACAATTTTGTAAATATGTGCTTTCATTTGCTGGTTTCAGATTTCTAAAATGTTTGAAGCGTGCCTCCTTGATTCTATTAATTATCGGTACTTGCTCTTAGATTGGTATCGAAGCGGTACGTTAAATACATTCGTATTTCTTCAAATTCATCAACTGTTGCGAAGTGAGCAATGTTTACAATAAACATATATCGACATTTTTCATTACTTGGACGTATTATATAATTCGTTTAGATATCATTTATACTTTAAATTCTTAGACACGTTTTCTACATTATTTTAGCTTTTCAATGGTTTTCATATCTGTATATAAAGTCTCATTTTTATTATTTAAATATTTATAAATAAATTCTATTGTTTTTAAAGCTCTTGTTATTGAGTGAAGATATACATATTTCTATATTTAATATTATACATATTAAAAAATTAATTGTATCTTATGTCAATCTTTATTAGTTTTTGGGTTTATCAAAATCAAGATCTCATTATATTTAATATATAATATCTCATTTTACCTTTTTTTTACACATATAAATTAAAAGTTGAGATTAATCATTTAAATAAAAATTATTTTTGGTGACTGTTGTATCAATGTTTTGTTTTGACAAATTAATATAGTTTAAAAAAATATTTACATATACATTAGTAACTAAAGTACACATCGGTGCCCCCAGCTCATTGATTTCGATATATCGTGAACTTCATATACAAATTTCCCGTTCTTTCCAAACTTCCTTTGAAGATATCTACTTTGAGATTTTGACAGTTGATTTAATAGGTTAATAGCTAAATACTATGAAATGGTTATGGGTATTAATAGTGATTGAGAAAAAGAGGAAAATTCTACAATGATATCACAACAGCGTCAGGGCCTATGAGATTCTTTATATCTTTTATGATTAGGGCTACCTTTAAAATAATAATTAAGTTATTGAATTTAAAGCTTCATATATTAATCCAAGCAAATAATTATTTTATTATTAATTAATTCAATTAATTACAGAATTTCAGAATTTCTTATCTTTATTAATTAAACATTCATAGACAATTTGGTTTTATATTTTTGATTTACGAAATAATTCATTTTAAAATTGTGTCAAAATTTTTCATTTCTCTCTCTGACGTTTTAACTTCGACGTAAAACATTGTTGCCACAGTAAGCAGGCACAGTATCACCAATATGAATTACCCAACAACAAATCACATTAGCTTTGATGAGCGTCGTTTGCAATGGTGAAGCGAAATGCAGTTATGCTCTGATTTGTACCAGTTTCGACTTTCTTCTTCATTAAAACTTATGATGCAGAAGCAAAGCAAATTCCACTGAAATATAGTAAAACACAATTATATGGAGTGGAGATACAAAACAACAGAAGCTACAATTAACTGCATTTTTTTTCCAACCATTTTCCATTTTTCTACTTTTTAATAATTAATTTTTGATACGAAATATTTAAACTGCAAGCAGAAAAATTCAAAGAAACAAAACCAAATATGAAATAAATAATAAATTAAATTAAATAAAAAATATTTTCTGACTTTAATTGCGAATAATCATTGCTGCAATGGCGATCAGATGGCTGCGTTTCGAAGATATTTATTTATATAATTAATAAATTATAAATTTTTACAGATTGTGCCAAATGAAAGAAAGTCTGACTAATAAACTAATTATGAAAAAAAATTTTGGCATAAGACGTTAATTTTTAAATTTGATATTATGAAGTGAAATTCGAAACTCGAAACTCGAAATTGTTGAAATGAACGGAGATTGTACGTTAGTCAAGATTTACAAAATGATAGTAGGCATACATATACTCGAAATTACAGAAATAATAATCAATATGCGTAAAAATTTTTGAATAAGAAACAAAATATATATTTTTTGAATAGGGTTATTCTTATCAATAAATTTATTTAATTTTTAATAGTTTTATAATTATTATATAGGTACATAATTTTTTAAATAACATATTTTTATTAAATTGATTATTTGTACTTTTATATTATTTAATAAAAATTAAAACGAATTAACAATTTTCATTTAATAAATCTATATATAGTGCCTCAAAATGTTTGAGCATTATCATTTCCGAACAATTCGATATATATTCGAATTTGAATATTTAGATTGAACACTGTAAATGATAGAAAATGTTCCAGTTGCTGGATGTTGTTCAAGCTAATCGGGCAGCTCATCTGCTTAATATTGCAAACATTAAAATACTCGAAGTTTCGATTAGTTCGAATAATATTCAAAGCTGTACTACATTGAAGATTGCGGAGATAGATCCCACCAGCAATGAGCACTATGATGTTCGAAAAGCTTGAATAGATTTGAATTTCAACATTTAGTTCGAACACTATAAATGTTAAAAAATGTTCCAGCTGCTTGATATGTTTCAATATTGCAATTTTCTATATTGCTGCTTCTATAATAATTAATAATAATATTCAAAACTCTGCTGCATTGAAGACTGAGAAGATATATTTCACCAGCAAAAAAAAATATTTATGATTTTTATATAACACTATTTTTAGAAACGTGAACAGAAAGACTTCTAAAGGTAGAAAAAGTTATTGATAAGATAACTAGGAACTTTAGATGAATCTGGAGTTCATCTTTAAAATATTTATATTATTTCCATATACAAATATAAAATAACTTACTTAAAAATAGAAAAATATACTTGACCTTACTTGCTTACTGCTTGCTTTCGTGGGTGGAGTTAAGAACTTAATAAGAATTCCATTTTTAAGTATAGCTATACTTAATGACATTTCCAATGTAGGAATCAATTATTTCAGTAAATGGTGTTAATGGTTGTTTTATTGACTGGACTTCAGTTTTTAGTTTTGCTGTATTAAAGAAATATATTCTATTATATAATTTATAAGAAATTTGTTATTAAGTGTAGATTAAATTGTATGGATGTCATTTATCCCCAACAAACTTAGGCCATATGCAGTACCATTACGCTATGGCTTTATCTTTCTGTATAATTTGTTAAGTATAAGATGATATTTCATTTTATACTTATACTTGCAATATGCAAGAACTCAATTTATAATAAAGAACACTCAACTATCCGAAAGAGGTCAGTTTAAAATCGTATTGTATCTTTTACGAGAAAATCAATTTAAGGTACTTCCTAGTTAAAGGAAGTAAGTTTATATACTTAAATACACTTCTATTGAAAGGATACTATAATTTTATACTATAATTAATTCTAACCAAAGAAAAGACATTCAACCTTTCGATATCAGATGCAAGCTTCACAAGTTCTTCTCATGATCCAGATCAGAAATGTAAAGTTACATTACCGGTTTAAGTACCACCATCGCTTTAAATACACTGTCACATAGGTTAAAATTAAATAAAAGTTAAAGTTAAATTAACTGCGTAGCTATAGTAGTTTGGGTTAAAATATTTACTTTCTCGACTATTATCCGGCTTCTTTTAATTTAAGTGGTCGTGTAAACGAGTCTTATGCGGCTACTGATCACAAGCCCTTCCTGATGCGACAACTTTTTGTCACCTCAAATAAATAAATATTGTTGAGATGTTATATACACACTTGTGTATCCATGTATATATTAACCTTTACTATTTATATTGATTGATAATTTAAAATTTTAAATATTTAATAATTTATAAGTTTTCCATATATATAATTATGTACGGGTGATATAAATACATAAATTATTTTATTAAATAGGATTAATATTATATATAATATATATATATATTTGATATATATGTATATTAATTAATTACTTATTTATATATTTGGCAATATTTTTGAATGGAATATTAGATAAAATTTAATTGATAAAATTCGTTAACGATTTCTAGATTTTAAAATTTTTTGAGTCCAGAATAATAGTCATCGATTAATTAATTAATTATTTATAGGGTTTTCGAATAGCAAAGAAAGAAAGAATTATTTTTATTTTTGGCAATATTTTTGAATGCAATATTAAATACCGATTTCCGATTTTTAGATTTCAAAATTTTGCATAATCTCTTCGAAATTAGAATTTTTAGTATTTGTGCATTTTTCTTCTAGAAGAATACATAAATAAAATTGTTTGGTTTTAAATCAACAAATTATAAAGGACAATGACCTGTTATACTTTTGAAATGATAAATTTTTTCGATTTTTTTAAATGTAATTAAAATATTGAATAACTTTACTAAAAAAAAATTAGTTAAAAAAAATTATTGCAATTATAAAAGCAATACATTCTCCGAAACGAAGTAAAAAATGTATCTTAACTTAGTATTCACTTTGTATTTCTGTTGAAGTGATCACATAAACCATCTCACTATAAGCTGTGCTCAATCAATTGTGATGGAAGTAAAATTGAAGTTAAATGTAAAAATTTATTAAAGCGGCTATTACCTTTAGTAAAAATCCGTTAAGATTACAGTTTTCCATTTGCATAATTTTGACTTAATTTCACTTTCAAAAATTCCATATTGAATTTTTGCATTTCAATTTATTTTGTTGCCAATCTTTACTTTTTTCATAGTCGTTTTGTGTGAATTTTGACTTTCGTTTTTATTTGACGCTTGTTTCATTCTTTTGTTCACTGATCATATGCAAGGCATATCCGCTTCAAGTTAAAAAACCGAACCATTTAAGTTAACAAACTGAGCTTTTCGTGACAGAAAACAACAATATAAACAAGGGCCATTCATAAGCCGCATTAACAATAACAAAACAACAAAAAAATAACAACAACAAACTATGTTTGAAAAATAGTGTTGCTGTTGTTGACTATACAAAAAAAACAGTAATAACATTAAGCACTGCATTTAAACCGAAATTTAAAATAAAAAGGCAAAACAAAAAAAAAAAAAAATAAAAAACATGAGGGAAAAGAAAGCGTAAAATGGTTGTGATATTTTTAGCTGAGTTAATAAATGCGTACCAATGCAAAACGCAAGATGAACGAACATTCCCTTTACAAAAAGCGCCATTGAGACACATTCACATCCACATCCACGAACGATTTTTGTACTAATTTTTTTTCCGGTGAATTAACTTCGAAACTCATTTAATGACGTTATGCAATGCTCAAATAAAAGCAACATATTTCTTTTATTTTTATTATTACTTTTATTTACCACGTTTTTTATATAAGCCAAATTTATTTCCCAATATTTGGCAGTGCATTACATCGTCGTGATCGTTACGTGATTTTGAGCCTTCCTGCGAAGTCATTATTCACGCTTGCATATTGCGCAAGCGTCACACATGTACTAAGTTTCTGTTAATTTTTTGCATTTGTTTAAATTTTAAATAAAATTAATAGGCAATTAAAAATAACTCAACCATTTCACATTTACTTTAAGCAAAAATCCGTAACAATTTAAAATTTATTCAATTTAAAAAAAAAATAATTTTTACTGAATATTTATAATAATTATACTCGTATTTTATATTTTGTAATATTAATATTATTATTTTATAATAAATTATTTTTTTAACTCTTTGCAGAATGCACGTTGTGATGGTCCACATATTGACTCAGCTTCTCTGCCACTAGAACACAGATCAGTATATGGTCCACCAGCACCTTCACCCATATATGGTGCGCCGCAGGGCGGTGGCGGTGGGGCCTCCAATGAAATCTCTGACGATGCATGGCCGCTTGCTACCACCAATGACAGTCCGCAAATAAAGCATTTACAAGTACAATGCGAAAAGACACATATGCGTGTTAATATTGAATTCGATCGTCCATTCTATGGTATGATTTTCTCAAAAGGTTTCTACAGTGATCCGCACTGTGTGCATTTGAAACCTGGTACTGGTCATTTAAGTGCTACTTTTGAAATTTTCCTCAACAGCTGTGGTATGACCAGTTCAGCTAATCATAACGCTGCTGGTTTTGGTGCACCTACACCATCTGGCAGTTATGTTGAGAACACTATTATTATACAATATGATCCATACGTGCAAGAGGTTTGGGATCAGGCACGTAAATTACGTTGTACTTGGTATGATTTCTATGAAAAAGCTGTTACCTTCCGTCCATTCCAAGTTGATATGTTGCACGCTGTTACAGCTAATTTCTTGGGTGATAATTTACAATGCTGGATGCAGATACAAGTCGGCAAAGGACCTTGGGCATCAGAAGTTTCTGGTATTGTTAAAATTGGTCAAACGATGACAATGGTATTAGCTATTAAAGATGATGAAAATAAATTCGATATGTTGGTACGTAATTGCGTTGCGCACGATGGTAAACGTGCTCCCATACAGTTAGTTGATCAAAACGGTTGTGTCGTCCGACCAAAAATTATGAGTAAATTCCAAAAAATTAAGAACTTTGGTCCATCAGCTTCAGTTGTTAGCTTTGCATATTTCCAAGCATTTAAATTCCCCGACTCCATGAATGTACACTTCCAGTGTGTGATACAAGTATGCCGTTACAATTGTCCTGAACCAAAATGTGGACCTAGTATTGGTGGAGAATATGGAGTGCCACAAATTGGCGGCAATGCACTTTCTTCCGAATATGGACCTCCAGAAGCTTATGAACGAGGTGACTTTGGTTTGGGTGGCTTACCGCCAGCTGCTTATCCAGATCCCAGACATCCAGCAGCTGATGCAACTGGAGCCTACTCAGAAAATCAACCTGATGTTGTTCCTTCACCACAAGCACAAACATCTGCAGTCACTACACCTGAAGCCGGTCCACCAAGTTCACAGTCACCACCACAAACTGCTGAATTACACTTGCCTCCACCACCATTACCCGGACAACCCGGTCAGTACAGTACAGTTAAAAGAAAAGACGATATGGAGGGTGGAAATTTAGTATCATTAGGTGGTCGTCCAAGATCTGTAGAGGGACTTGATGATTTACGCGGTGTACGCAGACGGCGTGACACAATAGATATTGTAGTCAAACCACGTATCTACAAACGTGATGCACAAGAAATGACTGATGTGAATACAAGTAGAACAATTCAAGTGGTTGCACCTGGTGATGTTAACTTTGCATTGAACAGTAATGCAAATAATGAAACCGTTGTCATACAATCTGCACGTTCTGCTGATTCGGAAACAATTTGCATGTCAGTGCCAAGTTTTGTTGGTGGTTTAGTGATGTTGCTGCTGGTGCTGGCCGTTGCATCTCTAGTCGCTGCATTCCTGTTCGTACGAGTACGGCATTTCGACAGAAAAGGAGCGTCAATGGCATACGTTAACTAATTAGATTAAAATGATTAGATTAACTTACGCTATAGTGCTTCTCAACTCCTTAATTTAATATAAGGCTCGACAACGAGCTATAGGAACGAACGCTTAAAAATATTACTTAAACTGTCTTTAGAAAACCAAATCATATATAAACGACATATATGCTAAGTAGAACCATTCAGAACAAGGGTACGGCGGTTCTTCCAGGCATACTTTCATATATACATCTTAACAATCATATTTCCGACAAAATCCCGACAAATGATTAACCATGAATAGTTATATATTATATTATTTATTATATTTTACCTATAATTATTTATTTTTATTTTTCTATTTGCCCAATTTGTAAAACGAAAAATCCTCAAGATAAAAAATTTAAATAAAATTGTCACTAAATTAACATTTGTATGGCAATGAAGAGATCTCATAATTTAGAGATTGTTTTCTCTTCTCAAGCAAATGCAAATCTAAATAAAAAAATTTATTGGTTAATAAAATTAATGCAAATAACGACAAAAATCTTTGCGATATTTTCACTAAGAACTAAATCTTTAATATAAGTTAATTTAGCAATTGTATATACGTATATTTATTATATTATTAAATTATTTTTTATTAGATTTGAAAATAAAATTGAATTTGAAAAGAAATGTTTGAATTTTTTAATAATAAAAATATGTTTTACAAGTAGGTAAGTTAACTTTTAAAATTAAATAAAAAAGTAATTTTTATACCATGTAGAACTAATTTGCTTTTTTTTAATACTTTTCTAAACTAGAAATTTTTGTAATGATTATGATTTTTAAAAGCCTTATGAAGAAGGCAGCAGTATTTCACATATATTAAGATAGTCAAGCACTTTTGAATCTATATCCGATCTTACACCGCTAGCTTCAAGTTATTTCGAAGCAGAAAATATTTTATACATAAGTTGCGTATTATGAACAAAACTATAGTTGTCTGGATGCCTGGTTACGATGAATTCAGCTGTAACGAAATAGCAGGCAATCTACTGATGAAACGAATTTTAGGAATCTTTTCACTTGTCAGGCTGAATTAGTACCGTGAAAAATTAAATATAAAATGGGTCAATGCTAAACGCCCCAAGCTATTTAAATAATATATTTGATTCAATAATAAAAATCTGAACAGTTTTTTCATTTTAAACAGATTTAAGCTCAGATTATTTGTTTTTTCTTTTGTGATAATGCTCTTGTTAACTACCAACTTTTAGATATGGAATTACCCTGCAATTGCAAAGGAACGGCTTTTATCAAATTAAATGAGTTTTGGAGTCATAAGCAAAGACATATTATTTATATCAATAAATCTCATATGTCGCGTTGTAGCATTATCTCATAGTCTAGTTTACATGGTTTTATTTGTTTCGATATCTTGTTTATATCGAACGTATATTTATGAAAAACATTGGCATTTTATTAAATAATTAAATGCAATTAAATCATAATTGAAAAAATCAAATTGCATATAAACTGCTCAACAGAACTGAATTCAAATTAATTACTTCTCATACGCTTGCAATCAATGATCCAATTAGCTCTAATACAATATATATATATTAAGTTAACTAAAGTTAAAGCATCAGTTATGAGCACAAAAATTGTGATAAACTTAAAACTATCAACAAAAAGAGAGAAAAACCTCATTTACATAATTTGATGAAGTGATGGAGCCATACATTGAAAATGTCATATATATGACAAGTTAAAGTGTTAGCTAACAGCACCAAAAAAACAAAAAAGGGATCAACTAATAAAAATAAAAATTAAAAAAATGAAGAAAAGTAAACAATGAACGAAACAATGATGTCGGAAAAAATTTCTATAGGACATGTCTATATAAATAAATATAATCAATCCTAAAAACTTTACAACTACCAAGACTAGAATTTATTGCTTTTCAAAGGTTCGATTTGTAAAAAACTATATTTCATAAAATTAAGATAGACACAATATTTTTGTTACGATTTTTCGGTATTTCTGAATTAATAAGTACAATATGATAATTAAATGGTAAAAAAATAAAAACTATTACATATATTCACTTATAAAATGGTAACTCTAAACTAATTAATGCACCAGGAAAACTAATCTCATACCTTTTTATAATGGTCAGCCTTGGCAATGAACTTGTGTAACCTTCTAATTTCTTAGGAAATTCAATCTTTTTTTTGTTGATAAAACAATAATAAATTATATCAATTTGTTTTATAAAAGGAGTGATTACATTTAATATTTTTATCACTAACAGGTGCTCATGTCATTGTTTATATATTATCGCTGTGAGCAAGTATGTGAGTTGCTTAAATTTTTCGGAATAATTGCATACAGTTTTCAAGTATATAAATGTAAAGTAATTATTATTTTGCATGTTTAATAAAACAAGTAAGGAATCAAATTATTACTTGATAAGATTAAATGAAAAATAAATTGTCAAGTCATTATTTATATTAGCTAAATTATTTTCAATGCTAAGCAATATATGCGAACGTATTTACAGCAGTTGTAGTGAGTGCTCTTATCATTCATACAAAATTTTTACTACTTCAATTAGTATATTTCGCTAACAAATTAAATGTCATTGAATTCAATTAATACATTTTAAAAAAAAATATTACATACATTTTTAAATAAAACAAATTAAACATTATTACGGAAATATATAAAAATATATTTTCATCTATTTCTTTGTTCAATTAAATATTATTCATAAATAATACATTCTGAGACATTTACCTTCAGCGTTGCTTATTTTTGTACAGACTTTATCAGAACATTTAAAATATGTAAATAAAATCAACATATGTATCTATTTCCTTTTATTGCCGGCAACTTTTACAATTTAATATTAAATTATGTATATACAATTTAAAATATTATCCTATTTGTGATTTGAAATTAACTAGATATTTTAAAATTGTTACATATAAACAAATAATTATATTATTTTAATAGAAAGCACACAGTATTTGAAAGGTATTATTTACAAAAGTGTTACGCACTTCGGGCATCATTTATAGTCGTAGGTACATGTACTTCCAAACCGTCCATATCTTTGGTAAGCGTTATTTGGCAACCAAGCCTTGAGGTGTCTGTTAGTTCATACGCTAAATCCAACATATCTAATTCTTCATCTCCGGGCTTTTCAGGCAAATTATCGTAATCAGGTTGTTTAAATATTAAATGGCAAGTGGAACATGTAAGCGTGCCTTCACACGCACCAAAACCATCTAAGTCAATACTATTATTAACTACAACATCCAATAGAGTATCTCCTACATTTCCTTTAGTTTCTATTCTCTGACCACTAGCACGGACAAATGTTACTTTCACTCTGCAAATATATATATAATATTAAACTTTTTACTAGTAGAAAATATTAATAATATTTATTTACTCTTGTTTAAGTGATGGGCTTACACTTAATGCACGATTAATATACTGAAGCCTACCAATTTGTAAGGCAACTTTTGAACAACTTAACGCATTTCGTATAAACATTATTGTACAAATCGTATGTTATCTAACTTTGTGCAATTACTAATAAACTAAATATGTTTTCAAATAAAATAATTTGCGATATTATACTACAGCACCATAGAATTACTCAACTGATTTAATGTGTGTGCTGATACCAACTGTCAAGTGAAAGTTACTGTAGGGGATGACGTACAACAATGTTGTATTGAGCAGTTATATATAACTATTCCATAAAAATATTTTTACTAGATTAGTAAGTTCAAGAAAACCAAAAGTAAGTTCACCAGCTTAACTTTAATTATTTTAAATAAATAATAATATTATTGCAATCAACATTATCAATTTTTTATGCATAAAAATTTTATATTTGTTGAGCAATAATTTATCGGATAGTTATCGATATTTCACACTTGTTCGCACACATGTTGTAATGTCAAAAATATTTGTTTACATTAAAATTTTTAACAATGACTGAGTTGTGGAACGAGTTCGATTTAAAGATACCACCTTTAATAACTTTACCATCAAATAATGCTAACTTAGGTATGTCGAATCAATTACTGTTTTAAAAAATCTACAATCAATACAATTATTTATAGCACAAAAGTTACGAACTGCCCTCAACAAATATGAAAAGCAGCATACAATAAAAAACAAAGATTTCCCAGAAACAGCAGCTCTTCTTTCACGTTTAATGGCAAGACGTAAGAATTCTTTTCGTCACATGATTGGTTTTCATAGCATTCGCAAACTCAATTCGGCACTTTCCCGTTTGCTACGAATTGATTTACCTAGAGATTTAGAACGCTTCAGTGGTGCTTTACCTGATATGGTATTTGAAGATGATATTTGCGTAGAAATACCAAATCGGAATAGCTTTGATTATGTGCTTGTACGTTTGGTAGGAGTGTATTATGTACATAAACGCATACGCGAGTGTTGCACTGATGCTGTGGATTATATAACTAAGATGATGCGATCAAACTATTTCTTTGAAACGAACACATTGTTTTTTGCCACAATAGCGAAACTGTTTAATTTCAGTTTTGAGTTAAGTAATTTATGTGCAGAGCTATATAATCAAATTCTGCCACTAAGACAGTATTTTCCACATAAAGGCATATATGAGTTTTTACCAAAAGATACTATTTTACCGAATACATTGGAACATCTTGGTAATAATAGTGAGAATTCCACATATAAGGAATTGGAAACACAAATTCCTCTTTCCGTAGTTTTAAATGCTACTCCAACAGTACCTAAGCACAAACAACGATCTGATGTTGGAACAGAAGTTGACAGAGAAAAGAAAGTTAAAAAATATAACATAGAGCAACTTAGAACAGTAGAAGGCATTAAGCAATTTATAGCCGCAGAAAACAAAGCTCGAAAAAACTCACTACAAACGTCACTTACCAAAAAAATACTTAATCACGAATGGGCGGGTGCTCAAAAGATTTTCGAAAAAAAATTGTTAGCTAACGATAATAAAAAGGCTGTGAATATTTTTCAAAAATTTATATCTTCAAAAATCTGAGAACTTAAATAAATATTTAATAACATTTAAAAATTTAGAATTCGTACATTGATTTATATACAACGTTATTTTTAATTTTCCAATTAAATTAGAAACATCCCTAGTATTTGTACCGAAATATTTGAGCCGATTCTTACTGCTGTATAGAATTAAAGTTCTGGCAAAATGGATTTGAAAGTATAAAAAATAATTAGTAAAATTTTCAATTTAAATTACTCAAACGATGCTTTATTGTTGTTTCCATAACCATCAATAATGTCAACGTATTTAGAATTTCGTATTTAGACATATTAAGAATTTCCAAAAGTGTGCTGTAATCACCTTTGGGTACATTTTACAATTAATCTTTTCTAACTAAAATACTGTGTTTCTTCATATTTCCATCAGTTTTCCATCAATATATATATATTTAGGATATTTTAATGTCTTGTATCAAGGTAAACAAGATAATGAGTTTTACCCTGAACATAGAAATGTACATTTTCGACGTATTTGCTGTTTTTTACTTTTTGACACTTCTTAATCCGATATACTTTTTTCAAAAGTGCTTTAAATTTTATAAACCATAGGGGTATTCACTCTGTCTTGCAAAGTCATTGTAAGGTGAACGAAATGCAAAAGTATGAGAACTCCTCTGTTGTAGAAATAGTCAAACTATTCGAAAGGCAAGTCATGAGTTTCAGCTATGGTGAGAGATGAAGTCTTACTCGATGTATTGCCAAGCAAAATAACAATCAATTTGCGCAATCAAGTGCTTAATATGTTTTAGTCGTTGTGCAACCTATTTCAAAGCAGTCGCTAGCTTTGAAATCCAAAAATACAATACCCACATATGATAGCTGAATCTTCTCATGTCAATTTACGTTGCACCTTGTATTGCTTAAATTATGTAATGTGTAGAAAACTCTTATCCCCAATTCTTTGTTTCAAATAAAATGAAGTGAAATGCTAGCTCTGTTCTGGTTTTCTTAGACGATCATACAATACCATTTCACGAATTCGTCAGTGATAGCCATTCACAGTTCTCCTCAATAAGTGTGATGATAAAGTGCATTAACATTTTTTTAGTTGTTTTAATAGAGATGTATATTAATCAGAAATACATATGTGGGGGTGTCGCCACACATACATCGAATCAATTTACAGTTTATCAGTGAAATCATATAAAACAGCTGTAGTTTTAGGATAATTTTACACTCTGGCAAAATATCTACAGTGTTATAAATTAATCTTGAGTGTTATACGGCATTTACACTGACTGAAAAGGCTCATTCTTGCATACAAAATTTCAAGCGCGAATGCATTCCATTTCAATACATTCTGTATGAATGCGTCCCAACGACGTTCAGATGTGTTCCAAATATGTTCCAAATACAAAGGAATACATTGAACATACCCTAAATAAAAGCTCTTCATGGCCTTTTGACAGTTTGAGATAGCTGTTTTTGACATATATACAAAAAAAGGTAAACAAATGTTTGATGGTTGTATTTCCTTGAAAACGATACACCTCTTTTTAGAACTTCAACTTCCCAAAAGGTAATTAATCGAAGTTAAAATTATGTTTTAAGTTTATATTGTAAGGTTTTAAGGCATATTTAACCTTCATGCAACATTTTTTTTGGCACAGGCCAAAAATCAAATCAACAGGCAAGTTGAATAATCAGGTGTTTTAAATGAGAACGAATGAAATACAACGAATGTGAACATTTTCATATGGCTCATTCAATGTAAACGCCATAATATACAGTTCGCTCTAGATTTACCAATCGAAAATGAAATTGATAAAGTTACCTTAAATTGACCAATTGAAAATGCTATATAATTATTATTTTTCAAAATTTTCTCGTATTCTTGATATCACCTGATGAAATATTTTATTAAAAATAATTTTTGTAACCAAAACGTTCTTTTCTTTGAATTTTTTAGATAGATATAGGTTTTTAATAAGAATATTATCAGTTGGTGCCAAACACAAATAAAAAACAAATATAAAGTGAAAACATATATAATATATACATATATATGTATTTGCAAATTTCAAATACATATTATATGCGCAATATTGTAATAAATACATATTTTGCGTCTACTAGTACTATTGTTATTTATTTAAATTCATTCAAGTTCGAACAATAATAACACCATAAATTTTAAAGTTATATCGCTAATTAGACAACAAATATACAATACATGTTTGCGTACGTATGGCATCATTAATTATTACAATTATTAGATTAAATTATTAGATATGGCATTCAGTGTTTATTGTGCGATTTGTATTCATTTTCACAGTGTGGCATCACAATTTCAGAACTGTTTACATTTTGCCGAAACTTGTGTTTTCAATTTAAAAAAGGCTCATAAATATTTAGAGATAATAATGGCTTCTTTAACCGGAGTTCGTGTTAATCTTTTTAATGAAAACTTTCAGAATGATACAGAACAAGATGCCAATCTAGTACTAATGGAACTGGACAAAGGGTTACGTTCTTCTAAATTAGCCATTCAATGCGAAGCTATTGTGCGCTTTCCGCGACTTTTTGAAAAATATCCATTTCCTATATTAATCAGTTCCTCCTTCTTAAAGTTATCAGAATTTTTTTTAACTGGAACAAATCTATTAAAGTTTTGGGTGCTGCGCGTTTGTCAACAAAGTGAAAATCATTTGGACAAAATAATGAATATAGACGCTTTTGTTAAACGCATATTTACTGTTATGCACTCAAATGATCCAGTCGGACGTGCATTAACTTTGCGTACTTTGGGTGCAATTTCTCGTGTCATTGCCGAACGGCCTCAAGTACATCATGCAATTCGACGCGCACTTGACAGCCACGATAAAGTAGAGGTGGAAGCCGCGATATATGCAAGTGGACAATTTGCGGCACAATCGAAATCATTTGCAGTAAGCATATGTTTGAAGATATCTGATATGATAGAATCGATTCAAATTCCAGTTCCAATGAAACTTCAGTTAATACCTGTGCTGCGTCATATGCATCACGATGCTAACACCGCTGGTTTAGTAAAAGAGTTATGCCGTAATTTACTGTTAAAATTTTCGGCCAAAGAATTTGTTATTGCAATACTTGATTCATTGACTCAATTATCGGCGCGTACACTAACTGGTGTACCAGATCAAGTCAATTTATTGCTTAATTTTTTACAGGATGCACGCAAACCGGTTAGAGGGCAGGCTTTACAATCGCTTATATCATTAACAGATGCGCAAACCGTGACCGCATGGCCAATGCCCGTTATTGAAAAACTTATTTTGAAGGCTAAAGCATGCGAAGACGAAAAGGAGCAATATTTTTACTTGCACATAATTTATAAATTGTGTGAAAGTCCTCTCATGTGTCAATTTTTATTGGAGGAGCATAAACAAATAGTCGTGGAACTATGCACAGAATGTATTGGCTTGAGAGAATATACTACAGCTAGTGAGGGTTTTGCTATCCTTGCTGCGTTAATTGAATTCAGTGGCACTGATCAAGAGAGAGTAGAAAGCTTATTAAATATTGTAAACATTACCATAGATGGAATTTTTTTATTTGCCACTTCAGATGTTAAGAATTTGCGGAAAATATTAATAAATGCAATAAAAGTAGCAAGCGTTAATGAGGAATTTGGTATCAGACTTGTCGAATTGGTTACCGATATAATAAGTGGAGACGTTAATTGTCCTGTATCAAATATTGAAATTTTTTGCCAATCTTTGGCAGAACTATGCACACAATTCCAATTAAAAAAATTTGCTCCACAATTACCTGTCGAAAATGCAATGGAAACGGATGCACCTAAACCGATCAAGGTAAAAAAATGCTAAGACTGAATTAATTTATATTGAAATTGATTAATATCATTTTATAGATAAATCCAGTTCTTGAAAGGCTATCACTAATATTACAAAAATTAAGTTTAATATTGGATGACAGCGCCAATAGCGAGAACTCACACACCATAGAAATTTTGGGTGCAGTTATAATGCAATCAATGATGGGTGGCTTCCCTCCTGCAGAAGTTATAAAGGTTTTGGAAAGATTTGAAAATACAAATACAAATTACTGGTCTTTTTATCGTTTGGGAAGATCTGCTAGTCGTTATGGTCAGCACTATATAGCAGCATTTTTACTATCAAAAGCACTTCAATATACGATTGCAGATAGGTTTCAATTCTATATAAAAGGACTTATACAAATGAGTGAAGCTGAGTGTGTATTAAATACTGGTTTTGTGTATAAATATATAAATGAGAACTATACAAAATGTGATCCCCGCTCACGTTTGCATGATGAATCAGTAAAAGATGTGCAACCAATGACTTTAATGCGTCGATTAGAATCTGCTATTGATCTTTATTGGCAATCTTTATCCTGTTTTCGTGCAAGTTCTTCGTCTTCTCAACCATTTGTATTTCAGCTCGAATTTTTAAAATTACGTGCGCAGTTCTTACAAACCTTACAAATGGCAGTTACAGTTAAAAATGCGCAAGTCATTGTACCTCCACCTGCTATCGCAAACAGTTTAGCACAAAATTCAGGTGATTATTTGCAGAAGTATGGGCACGTAACAAATCAGTTGCGAAAACTTGTTAAAGCATTAAAAAGTTGCGGTGAATCCTATAACAACTTATATAAATCGGCATTTAATGCAGATCCAATAACTTTAGAGTTTATTGAAATTGCAGAGTATCAGTGTACATTTTTCGCACATATTGTTGAAAATATATGCTACGCTACTCCAGCTGAACCACCATTATTTTTAATAAATTGTAAGCAACCAGAAACACGTTATTTTGCTATAACTTGTCAGCAGATGGACTTATTACAAAAACATTTGCCGCGAGAGGAGCCTAATGCTAAAACCATAAGTAATAGACATCTGGAAGTCATCTTGGCATTAATTGAGTTAATTATGAAACGGCCATTGTGTTTACCTCGATACTTTTTTCAAACACTGCAATCAACTCAAATAAAATTGTCTGTTAGTCCTCAACCACGGAGTCCTACAGAATTTGTGATTGTGCAGTCGGGAAGTAATTTGGTAATCAAAATTGAAGGAATAATACAGCATAGTGGAAAAAAGCACACTTGGCATAGAAGCGTAGATTCCGTTCAACTTAGCTTAACGGCACAATTAATGTCTCCACGTCCTATTGACAATATGAAACCAATAAGCGATACAGTGACGCAATCTCAAATCGTTAAACCCCAACGAGATTTTCTAACTGGGTTCTTTCTGTTACCAATTTCTAGTGGTAGTCAGTGGCAAGTCACACTTGAAACTTCTGCTATTGATGAAAATGGAATAGTTTGGAATACTGGCCCGAAAAATTCTATGCTCGTTCGTGGGCTAGATGATCAAACTAAAGCTTCAACATCGTCTAGCCCATCGGTTCCAGTGGGACAAACACGACGTTTTTAATTTTTGTAAGTTTATTTTTATTTTTAATTAATTAAATAATTTAAATTAAAGATATTGTAATGATGTAATGTTTTGCATTATTTCTGGAATGGGTAGTAATCCAAACCAGAGTTATATTTGAATTTTGGTTTTTGTTTACGTTTAGATATTTCAATCATTTCTTGAACGTCCTTTCTATATGCTGGTGGTTGTAGTTCTTCATCTAACGTGCACATATATTTTTGTGGTTCCTCAACTTTAAATATGTTTTGACGTATAACGTCAACATCGCGTTCAAATTCTTCTCTCAAATCATCTATTTTTTGTGGTGACGAATTGAATATTATATTGAAATAATTTCCTTCGCGATGTACCAAATTATGTTTACTAATTTTATATGGTAGCGCACGTGTACCAAGATTTTCTAATTTTCTTAGTATCCCTCCATTGTCCAGAATGCACACAGCTGTGCGTTTTATCGCTGATATAAGCTCTGGCTGTAATAGAGATTTTTTTAATGACAAATTAAATGTCTACGCATAAATGTACATACACGGTTCATTTGCCTCATGCACAAAGCTACTTCGTAAATAGGCATAGTTATAAAGAGATATATCAAGAATTTGTTATAAAACAATTAGAATTTAAATTGCGGTGCATAACCAATAAAATCAACAATATGTCTAGACAGCTGATTAGTATGATGCCAGACTTCTTGTAAAAATTACATGATACCACTGTTTTTTACTTTTAGGTGTAAAAATTTTAAGCCGAAATAATATTGCGTGAATAATTGATAAATTCTTTTTATGTAAAACTTTAACCCATTTCGGACCACCGTGTGGTGCACCACAAGCTTTGAATATTTTTTAATATGCGAAGAATATTCTGTCTTTTTAGGTAAAGATAAAGTGAGAGAATTATTTCAAGTAAATATTTAACTCTTCTCATTTACTTAAACTTTTTTTTTTATTATTGACTATGAAATTACCTATTATTTAATGGGTTAAGGACAAAATTATATAAAGCTTGAACTATAAGTGCCGTTCACTTATACTATGTTTCCACTGCAACTGAATTCTATTGAATTAATCAAATTATGTTTTAGTCGTTTCCATTGGCATAAGTTGATATATGCATGTAAAAGCGCTTTTATGTGTCAGAAATTTCTGTGAAAGTTCTAGATGAATGTTTATTTCTATACATTTCAATTTTTAACAGACAATATTTAGTTTTGTATTGGTAATAGAAATTAATTATTAATTGATCATGAAATAAGTAGAAAATGTAAACAATTTTATGTATAATATTTATTTTTAAAAAACAAATATGTTCAAAAATTCTCTTGTTTGTGTTTTGTTTATTTACATATTATTCCATGTGTCAAATATGTCAAATTTCGATAATGTTCCTTTTGTTTTGCAATGTTGCATTCGATTTTGTATGGATATAATTTCCCTTAATTTATTCTAATTCCACATTGTGAGGTTAAGAGAACAAGAACACCAAAGAAAACACAAGAGAAATGTCAAAATTAATCTTCAATGTATAATGTAAACGGTGGAGGTTAAGAATGCTGATTAATCTCGTTCTTTTGATCTCACAATGTAAACGTAGTATAACACTGTGATAACACATATTTATCAAATTTATAATTATGATAACACAGTTATAATTATAAAAAATAATATAGATTTATTATTCGCGCAAGCTCTTAACATTTTCATTAGTTTTCGGACGAATTTAAACGTCTATATAACATTACGGTCTTTGCGTCTTTATAATACTACGGTCTTTGCGCATCTTTATAATGTTACGATTTTTGATAACATTACGGTCTTTGTTAAAGGTTCAAATAAGTCAAATTAAGTGTATGGTAAATTTAGGTGTATATTTATTAAATTTATATCGTAAATTAGCAGTTGTTAGTCGGTCGAACTTCATTGATTTATCATGATTGAACTATCTAATTTGATGTCAAAAATTATCTTTAATATTACTAAAAATAAAAAATAAGCCAATTTACTTACAGTTTGTATAAAGAGTCGAATTGCTCTACAACGAAATCGTTAGAACACTCTAAATGCTTCGTTATAGATTAGCTAATCAAAATTTTTTTTTTTGTAGTTTTCACGACATTTTATTTATGTATTTCAAAAACATAATCAATTTATATTTATTCATATTAACATATATATTCTTCATAGTATTCATATTAAAATTAAAAAGTAATTGTAATACTTACAATTGTAATAATACTTAGAAAATGGTGATGAAGAATTGAATACATTATAATCATAATTATCAGAAGTCTAAAGATTCACATTGCCCAGAGCTACGATCTACGATGGTGAACAAAAATCAAAAAATTCATATACCCAAAAGTAAACAAATTGTTTATAATTGGAAAAGTAATTGCTTAAATATGAAGAGTTTGCAGACAATTAAAAAATTTGTTTGCAAAATTGAGGAGAACAGAAGCTTTATAATTAGAAAAAAGAAATTGGTTTTTAAATTTATTAATTAAATTAAATAATGTTAATAAATGCTTAGAAATTTAAGAATTTTAAAAAAAATTTAAAAAAAAAACAACCTTAGCGAAGAACAGAAAGCTGATCTATAGCCAGATAATTAGACCAGCACTACTTTATGGGTGTGTCGGGTATAGCAAATCTGCCGACTCTACTATCCAAAAGCTACAAGTTGTTTAAAGTCATGCTCTCCGAAGGCTCTTCAAAGTGCCATGGTACATCCGCACGAATGACATGCTAGGAGACCTTAGAATAGATTCGGTCAAAAAATACATAAGGGACATGCGAAAACCGACAGGATGCCCTACTTAGCACTATCTAATCTCAGAGTAATCAGTACGGGACGGTACGCAGATCTTAGATAAATCATTGAATAATCACGAAGGTTATAAGGAATACTCAAATTAGTCAGTGCGATGGGTGGGACACTGCAGAAACCCCACAGCCATCGTAGAGTAAAAATGCCCAGACAAAAACTGTTTGATGATCGGATTAAACTTGTGTTGTTTGTGTGATTATGTTGTTTCGCATTGTCTGTACTCTGTTACATTTATTTTTTTTCTGCGTTCATAAGTTTACATTTTTAACGTTAGTTAATTCTACGACAATTGTTTCAGCCTTAAGAAGATTTACTATTAAAGAATTTACTCAATTTTAAAGCATGGTTTTTGGCTCGACATAATATTTTTATATATTCGTTAAATATAGAGAAAATGTACACTGCACATGATATTTGAATTAATTTTTGTCTTAAAGGCAGATATTCCGTAAAAAATGCATTACAATCGTAGCATTGTCCTACTTTTGTCAATATTTCTATGTAATTAATATCATTGAGAAGTCTATATGTCCTAAAACTAGTTTAGAAATAGGAGGATTCTCTGTCTATCAATTGCTATCCATTTAAACGAAATCTCGTTTATATTTGTATAATCGCAAAAATTTAAATATTCTATAATTTTTTCACACAGTTACTTAATCTAAGAGTTTATTTTTGATAATGGTTACATGTGAAATATGTTATTTAATAGAAAATTTGTTGCATTTGAATTCATTTTACAGGAATGATTCAATATAAAGAAGTCTGTTTACGTTCGCCTACTGCCGGTGTTTACTCACCTCATAATAGGCAAAATTCATATCAAAATATATGAGACTAGTATAAAATTTCATCAAAAATCAAATTTATAATAATTTGGAAAAAGTTGTGCATTGCATGCACACAAAGTCAATCATATATTTTAGAAAAAATGTATACAAAAAGCAAAGACTATTTCTTTGAATTTGTGTGTTTGTGTGTCCATTCAACACTAAATAACGCTTCTTCGTGTTTAACTACTATTGAACGCCCTTTCCTCTTTATTTCCTCTTTACCCAAAAGAAACCAAATTTGGTAAATATAGAAACAAAAAATTGCACTTCACTGATTGCCCTTTCGTCTTGATGCAGCAAAACTATGGAAGCAAAAGTTCGCAAAACAGAAAATTGTCAACATATAAATCACACAAGCAATATGAAATACACACAAACTAGCAATATGAATAGAAAATATAGCAACAATTTCTATACTATATCACACACCTTCTCATATGCACATTCAACAGCTCTTTCGTGTGTTTCGAACACTTAAGATCATTGTGTTATACACAGCTTTCGTTTGTCTTAATTGTTCTACAATTCAAAGCTGATTGTGCTTTTAGCTGGCCACTCGAGCTGGCTACCATAAAATCAAAGGGGTCCATTTTTTTGTTCTGCATTCGTAATCTGTATATTATTTATCTGTGATAAAAAGGAATTCTGCATATAAAAAAATTCTACTTATATTAAAAAAATTCTACATATAAAAAAAAGAATCCTACATATATAAAAAGAATTCTACATATAGTAAAAAAAATTCTATATATATTAAAAAGAATTCTACATAAATAAAAAGAATTCTACATAAATAAAAAGAATTCTACATATATTAAAATAATCGCAGTGTCTTCAAAAAACTTTGTTAAAGAATTGTGTCAACTATAGCGAAGATAAAATATTGCATTTATAACATTGAAAAAAAAAAAACAAATAAAAACAATTACTAAGAGATATTTATCTTTTATTTTCAACACGTTTAACAGTTCTATTTTATTTTAAGAATTTTATATATGACAAATATATACTTAAACTTTTAATATAATTAATTTTAACATCAAACTTGGTTAAAGACACTTTTGTTTCATTGTACGTGAAAAATCTTTTCAATAAAGGCCATTTAATATGTACACAATTGTATATAGAATATACGACATGTGTACACGGTTACATTAATATCTCTTTCTAATTCAATTAGTATTGTACATACAAAAACTTTTAGTGGTGTTAACAAGTATTGTTCAAGTATTATTTATTTTGAAGGATAATAAATAGAAAATGGCACAAAAGCAATTGCTTTCTTAGTTCTTTTTTAAATACTTAATATAATTTTCTGTCTCTTCAATTTAATGTGCCAATTTAGAATCGAAAACAAATAATCTGTTACAAAATATATCTTAAAAAAATTTATATTTAATCTTAAATTACGAGTGTTGGAATAGTTTGTTTCTTGTAAAATCGGAATACAATGTTTTGCTACCATGGAATGCTTAAAGGTAAAAACTGATTGTAATATTAATATAAATTTGGCGTCAAATAAAACACTAGATGACAAAAATACATTAAAAAAAGGATATATTTTAATTGACGCAATTTGGTCCCTGATAATGTGTAGGGTTTACATATGTCTGGTGTTGCCGAAGTTAATGCCAGACTGAGTGGCACCTTTATTAGAACCGTACTGTAATGAGATAACGTTTTGACCAGCACGTAGTTGTTCATCAGAAAAGTTGCGTACGTTCTTATCAGCTTCCTTTGGGCCAATAGATGGTTTACCGAAATTAGAGGCCTAAAATAATATTAAAAATTTAGTAAATAATATGTTTTTGTTATTTCTTTTTAGAGATAATCACCTTTCTGCCCAATGATTGTAGGCATATGACAACTGAATTCAAATTTTGTCTTTCCCAGAGATCAACACTTTGGAAGGTTTCTTGTGTTGGCACACCAAACTTTTTGGCACATTCTAAGAAAGCTGTAAAGAAAAATAAATTATTTATAAAATTAGCAACATTTTTAATTAAAAAGTTGATTATGCAATTTACGGTCTACTTGTGTCAATCACAAAAAATATCAATAAATATATAAATAATTTACTGATAACAAATTGCATAAAAACAATATTTAAATTGAGTACAGTAATCGCATTACCATTTCAAAAAAGTTATCGTATATTTATATGTAATAAATTTAATTAATATTGTAGGAGTCTATTTTTCTGATCGAAATACTAAATAGTACTGCACTGATTTTTTGCTTTTTTCATTCGAACTCACCAGAAATATTTTCCATGCATTTAAATGCCATTTTACTTTCATTGATCTTTTTAACAGATCCAGGTTGTATGCAATTAGCGAGCTTACATAGCAACACACCATCCTTAAGCACTTCAAAAAAGTTATCCATATCGCCGGATGTGTTGATAGGCTCGCTGGTCACATTTTTGATCCATTCCAAACTCTCTTGAGCTAATTCTTCGCTGTACTTAGAGTTTATCTAAAAATAAAATATAAAAACTGATATTAGACAGATTTTATTTTATATATTTTGTATAATTCATTTTATTTTTGGCAGGATAATTACTTTTGCTGAATACATTTTTGGTAAACTTTAAATTTAGAGTGCATTAATCTTAATGAATCAAAAATTTAAAAACTTTAGCGAAAATTTGATATTATAAATTTTCTTGCACTCATAAATAATAATAGAAAAAAAATTCTTATCAGATATGAGTACAAGTATAATGATAAGATTGGAGCTAAAAATTTTCAGAAATTAGATACTGTTAAGTTCAGGCACTCCTGTATGTTTGTCAAAACAAAATAAACAAAAAATAGGGACATTAAAAACTACTTCAATAAAATTATGTATAACTAAAAAATTGATTTGATTGCGATATAAAGTACGCTACTTAATTGGTAAAAAAACATTTATTTTATAAGATAATATAGAATATAACACAACTCTCAATAAGATGCCGTTTCAGTTAAGACTTCATTCATCGTCATATAAAACTAAAAAAAATTTTAAATTATATCCAATTGCTTAATGTTTATATATAGATAGTTTTTTAACGAAAAAACTGTATTCGTAAATGTTGTTTTTATTCTGTTCTTAAGTTAAATAATAATAGAGAGGTATCGAGAAGTAGTGAACTACAACAAAAAAAATTTTTTTTATATATTATTTTAATTAATTAAATTTTTGGTTGACCACACAGCTGTTTGGAGTATTGCTAAATAACCATCTTCAGTGGTTGTTTGAGACTGCAAGTACCAGGGATTGCATTCGTGCCCTGCCAAATTTGAAGTTAAGAGTCAGTGCCAGATTAAATAATTTAATCATAATTAGAATTAAAAATATATATTATTTATTAAACATAGGATGTGCACATTGCAAAAAAAAAATTTATATATTAAGTTAAATTTATATCAATTACAATTATGTACTTTCGTTTCACCCACGCATGCAGATAGTGTTCAGTTTAGTTCAAACATATTTAGTAAAGTAAACAAAAGTCAAAAAAACGTAAAACCTGAGACGAATGGATAATAAAAAATTGCTGGCTAACTGCACTAATAAAAATTCGAAAAATAATTTTTTTTTAGATTAATATTTTCATAGCTGTACTTGTTAGTGTTGATTAAGTTTTTCTGTTGATAATACGAAACGATAATATCTTAAATATATTTGCTTTATTAATATTTTAATCATAACAAATTCCAGAGATAAAAATAAATGACGTAATTTGGTATGGTACATACATACACCTTAGCGCTTTTAGTTATTAGATTGATAACAGTTAACTAAGTTTTACATGCTCATCTGGCAGATAGCACAGTTATTGCTTATTTATGATTTTTTTACGAAAAGCTTTACACAGATACAAAAATTGTTGTTGTAATTGATAACAATTATATTATAACAATTGTATTAGTGACTAAAATAAAACATCACGGTTAGTAAATATTGAAATACATTGGCTAGAGTCGTGAGATCATTCACTTTTTTAAAAATGATGTCAATGTGTCAAAATTCAGCTGCGATACCGCATACATATACATTACGTACAAATGTACTACAACTCTTAATTTTTTATATATAATTAATAATTTTATTGTTGTTATTGCTGTTTCTTATTGTTGTTGCTGCTGGCTGAACGTGTTAAAATGTGAAGATTACAAAGAAATTTTCCGTTTTTTATCGCTTTGAATTTTAATTGAAATATTAAAGTTCAACGCTATTGTTCCATATTTTTATTTTTATTTTATTTGAATTGTTTAAATATATTTTTTAATCTGTAATTTATTACTTAATATACACAAATGAACAATACTAAATATAAAATCAAAGTGACCATAAAGAGTAATGATTACGTGTTTTAATTAATCACGCTATTTCATTAAAACCCTGTGGTAAGCTAGCAACCAAGCAAGCTAGCACTGACTGCCTCACCCCTAAAAGTGTGTTGTGAAATATGTGTATGCATGCATATATGTATGTCATATATATATATAAAATATTTGTTTGTTAAGCAAATAACATAAACAATAGTAAAATAAAAATAAAAACAATATACAAAAATTTAAGTAAAAAGTAACCTTAGAACAATTTATTTATCGCATTCGTTCGCAATTTGGTTTTTGGTTTCTCAACTTTCGTGGAAGTGATTACGTGTACGATTGCAAATATGCCGGTATATATACATATATTAGTATAAACATTTGCTTATAGTTATATATTAGCATTTATTTCTGAAGGTACTTTTGTTGCAATGAAAACGAAATTGATTTTTTCCCCTGAATAAGTCCCGTCCCCACTGCTTATATTGTAATTTGCTGATTTGTGAATTTTTTATTCTACTCGGAAATGCCTGTCTACAGTTATTAGACTAATTAAGCTTAAATGACATTT